CCGTCCTTCGTCCGAAATGTCCGAGCATATCTCTAAAGTATTTGAGTTATCAACTTTAAACTCATAGTGTGATAGATCTCATTTGCAGGGGAGTCAGTGCACAAGAATGATAACTCTACCTTGCATTGATTTTTGAGTTATTGCCCTTTGTTATTTTTCAAAATTGATTTTTGTCAGAGCCATAATCCAAAAAGCCTATGAGATATTAACATGAAACTTCATAGTTGCATAAATCTCACTCAGGATGTGTGCAGTGCCACCCAAGAAGATAACTCTTCCCTTTCATTTAAATTTTTTTTTTTTGGGGGAGGGTTAAATGCCCTTTGTTTATTTTTCATACCTAATTTTTACCTGAGTGGAGCATAACTCAAAAAGTGTTTGAGATATCAACATGAAATGTCATAGAAGGATAGATCTTATTGAGGAGGAATGTTGTGCACAAGAATGATAACTCTTCCCTATACAATTTTTGAGTTATTGCCCTTTGTTGTTTTTTTCATGCTATTTTGTCCAGAGCTTATCTCAAAAAGTATTTGAGGTATTAACTTGAAACTTCATAGGTGGATGGATCTCATTGAGGAGGAGTGCAGTGCTAAAGAATGATAACTCTGCCCTGCATTATTTTTGAGTTATTGCCCTTTGTTATTTTTCAAAATTAATTTTTGTCCAGAGCATAACTCAAAAAGCCTTTGAGATATCAAAATGAAACTTCATAGGTGCATAGATCTCACTCAGGAGGTGTGCATTTCACAAGAATGATAACTGTAACTTTTATAATTTTTGAGTTATTGCCCTTTGTTATTTTTCATACTAAATTTTTTCAGTTCAATTTTGTTCTCAAAAAGTTTTTGAGGTATCAACTTGAAACTTCATAGGTGGATAGATTTTACTGAGGAGGGATGCAGCACACAAGAATGATAACCTACCCTGCATTATTTTTCAGTTAATGCCCTTTGTTATTTTTCAAAATTGATTTTTGTCCAGAGCATAACTCCAAAAGCCTATGAGATATTAACATGAAACTTCATAGGTGCATAGATCTCACTCAGGAGGTGTGCAGTGCACAAGAATGATAACTCTTCCTTTCATAATTTTTGAGTTATTGCCCTTTGTTATTTTTCATACCTAATTTTTACCTGAGTGGAGCATAACTCAAAAAGTGTTTGAGATATCAACATGAAATGTCATAGAAGGATAGATCTTATTGAGGAGGAATGTTGTGCACAAGAATGATAACTCTTCCCTATACAATTTTTGAGTTATTGCCCTTTGTTGTTTTTTTCATGCTATTTTGTCCAGAGCTTATCTCAAAAAGTATTTGAGGTATTAACTTGAAACTTCATAGGTGGATGGATCTCATTGAGGAGGAGTGCAGTGCTAAAGAATGATAACTCTGCCCTGCATTATTTTTGAGTTATTGCCCTTTGTTATTTTTCAAAATTAATTTTTGTCCAGAGCATAACTCAAAAAGCCTTTGAGATATCAAAATGAAACTTCATAGGTGCATAGATCTCACTCAGGAGGTGTGCATTTCACAAGAATGATAACTGTACCTTTTATAATTTTTGAGTTATTGCCCTTTGTTATTTTTCATACTTAATTTTTTCAGTTCAATTTTGTTCTCAAAAAGTATTTGAGGTATCAACTTGAAACTTCATAGGTGGATAGATTTTACTGAGGAGGGATGCAGCACACAAAGAATGATAACCTACCCTGCATTATTTTTCAGTTATTGCCCTTTGTTATTTTCAGCCATCAGTATTCACATAGGTTTCAAATCTGTAATCACTATAGCCATCAGTTTTCATTACCAAAAGACCTCTTAAAATGGAATTATTCTGCTCTACTACATATACATTCTTCCAATGAGCAAACACATTCGGCGGGGGATGGCCATGTTGACATGGCTCTTGTTGTCCTTGACTTAGTAAAAAATTGCAATATTAAAAATTTGCACACGTAGCTCAAAAAAATTTTTGACAAGGGGCATAACTTTACAGGCATGTTGATCCATTAAAATTTGAACCCGGGGTTTTATTGGCTTTTTATGTTTTGTCAAAATTTTTTGCCCTTTATTAGTTTCCCCTTTAATTTATTTTTTGCGTTTATTCCCTTGACTTAGTGAAAATTTGCAAAATTCAAAATGTGTCGTGGTAGTCAAATGTATTTAAACCCGAGTCATGAAAATTAGAGGAATGTTGGTCAGCATTTAAATTGTGTTTCTTTGTTTCCCTTTGGATTTCCCGCTTTTTAAGTTTGCCAGTATTATAAAGACCTTTCTAATGTTGTGTTATTTGTCCCGTTTGGTTAGAATTAAACCCGTGTATGTAGTTTATTTTTTAAAAATTTCTGTTTAAAAAGGCATATGTTTTCAGGCCAGGTTTTTTTAAATTATATTTAAGGCTTTGAACTTAAAAAAAAAATATAGTTTTCGAAGAGAAAAAGGCGGTTATATTGCTTTGCACTTGTCGGTCCGTCGGTCCGTAGACCCCAAATTGGTTTCCGAGTGATTACTAAAGAACCCCTTAGGCCTAGGAACTTCAAACTTGGTATGGTGATTGGTCATGACAAGTAGATGACCCCTATTGTTTTTGGGGTCAAAGGTCAAGTCACATTGGACCTTGTAAGCTACAAACGGTTTCCAATCAATAACTAAAAGAACCTTAAGCCTAGGAACTTCAAACTTGGTATTGTGATTTGTCATGATCAGTATATTGACCCCTATTGCATTTTGGGGTCAAAGGGGTCAAAGTCAAGGTCACATTTGACCTTGTAAGCAAAAACGGGTTTCCGATCAATAAGTAAAGAACCTTAAGCCTAGGAACTTCAAACTTGGTATGGTGATCGGTCATGATCAGTAGATGACCCTTATTGATTTTGGGGTCAAGGGGTCAAAGGTCAAGGTCACATTGACCTCTTGGGTAAAGACGGTTTCCGATCAATAACAAAAGAACCCTTAGGCCTAGGAACTTCAAACTTGGTATGGTGATTGGTTATAACCAGCAGATGACTCCTATTGATTTTGGGGTTAAGTGGTCAAAGGTCAAGGTCACATTGACCTTGTAGGTAAAAACGGTTTCCGATCAATAACGAAAGAACCCTTAGGCCTAGGGACTTCAAACTTGATATGGTGATTGGTCATGATCAGTAGATGACCCCTATTGATTTTGGGGTTTAGGGGTCAAAGGTCAAGGTCACATTTGACGTTGTAGGTAAAAACAGTTTCTGATCAATAACGAAAGAACCCTTAGGCCTAGGGACTTCAAACTTGATATGGTGATTGGTCATGATCAGTAGATGACCCCTATTGATTTTGGGGTCAAGGGGTCAAAGGTCAAGGTCACATTGACCTCTTAGGTAAAAACAGTTTCCGATCAATAACTAAAGAACCCTTAGGCCTAGAAACTTCAAACTTGGTATGGTGATTGGTCATGATCAGTAGATGACTCCTATTGATTTTGGGGTCAAAGGGTCAAAGGTCAAGGTCACATTGACCTCTTAGGTAAAAACAGTTTCCGATCAATAACTAAAGAACCCTTAGGCCTAGGAACTTCAAACTTGGTATGGTGATTGGTCATGACCAGCGGATGACCCCTATTGATTTTGGGGTTAAGGGGTCAAAGGGCAAGGTCACATTGACCTTGTAGGTAAAAATGCTTTCCGATCAATAACTTAAGAACCCTTAGGCCTAGGAACTTCAAACTTGGTATGGTGATTGGTCATGACCAGCAGATAACCTATTGTTTTTAGGGTCAAGGGGTCAAAGGTCATGTAACATTGACCTTGTAGGTAAAAACTGTTTCCGATCAATTAACTAAAAACGCTAAGGCCTAGGAACTTCAAACTTTGTATGATGATTGGTGGTGACCAGCAGATGACCCCTATTGAGTTTTGGGTCAAGGGGTCAAAGGTCAAGGTCACATCGACCTTGTAATTAAAAACGGTTTCTGATCAATAACTTAAGAACGCTTAGGCCTAGGAACTTCAAACTTGGTATGGTGATTTTTCTAGACCAGCAGATTACCCCTTTTGATTTTGGAATCAAGGGGTCAAAGGTCAAGGTCACATTGACCTTGTAAGTAAAAACGGTTTCTGATCAATAACTAAAGAACGCTTCGGCCTAGGAACTTCAAACTTGGCATAGTGATTGGTCATGATTGACCCTTTGATTTTGGGGTCAAAGGTCAAGGTCACATTGACCTTGTATGTTAAAACGGTTTCGGATCAATAATAAAAGAACCCTTAGGCCTAGGAACTTCAAACTTGGCATGGTGATTAGTCATGACCAGCAAATGACCCCTATTGATTTTGGGGTCAAGGGGTCAAAGGTCAAGGTCACATTGACCTTGTAAGTAAAAACGGTTTCTGATCAACTAACTAAAAACGCTTAGGCCTAGGAACTTCAAAACTTTGTATGATGATTGGTCTTGACCAGCAGATGACCCCTATTGAGTTTTGGGTCAAGGGGTCAAAGGTCAAGGTCATGACCAGTAGATACTTGAAACCCTTATTAATTGTTTGATCACTGGGTCAGAAGTCATGCATAATTACCTTATCACATGAATAATTGGCTGCTGATAGGGGGCATACATGTTTTACAAACATATCTTGTTTGTCTAAAATTGTTAAATGTTACACCACAATAATGACTACAAACTTGAATTACTTTTATTTGCACATGGTTTGTGTAGGTGCTGAACTTTAGACATCATCTTTATATATGTCTTTTTTACATGCTTTAATGAAAACAGTCACAAAATTGCTCTTATGATACTTCAATGCATAAAATACAAAGAAAATTGTTGGTTTTTCATGAATATGCTATATATCACACATCCAAGTGAGATAATATCTTCAATTTCACTTGGGATGGTGGAAATATTACAATTTCATCACTTTTCAATTGCTTGAAAGTGAAAAATTGTATTCAGTTAGGCCAAGAAATGCTTAAATTATCCGATTATTAAACCTGCTATGTAACTTGATTTCATCAATTTTAGGGAGGAGTTATTCTGGTATCTCACGACGAGCGTCTTATAAAGATGGTGTGCGAAGAACTCTGGGTGGTTCGAGACAAGAAGGTGGTGTCATTAGAGGGCGGGTTCCCACAGTACAAACAGATTGTCGAGGAAGAATTAAAAGCACAAGGCTGTTGATAAAGGCCACTGTCTTAGCCATTGTTATATTTATATATACAATATGTACCTTTTGTTGTACATTTAAACTACACAGATACAGTCTAACATGTGGAAAAAGGCCACTTTCAAAAGATAACTGAGGTTAAAGGCTGCGTTCAATAAAGAACAAAACAAATAATCTTTTATTAATGGCCTTAATTCAAAACTTACATTTGAACAATTAAAAGAGCAAAATTTATTTGCTTTGATTATTTCTCAAAATTTTTAATTGAGCAAAATACTGTTGTTGTTATGTCCTTCTGACTGTTACACCTTTTCTCATATAACATTGTAGTTTATTTTTCTTTCTCTCACTTACACATGCTGAAACCAACATTATTTATTGACTAGTGTCTTTAATATACAGTGTGTTGATGACTTATAAAACCATTATCCTTGGTAATGGTTTCAGGTCAGTTAGGTCAAGGTCATGAAGATTAAATATTTTCTTACAGTAATATCATGTTTAAAGTTTTCATTTTTAAAGGAACATAAGAAAGCCTCTGATGGTGATAATGATACTGTTGTTTTCATTTTCAAAGACTGGTTGTCATTTAAATGTCTGACTGTATTTAAAGGGACTCCACTAAGGTTTTTTGACATGATGTGACTGAAAATAATTTTTCGAGATAAATGTTCCATTTGATGTTGGTCTAGACCAATGACTTATGTGCAAACTTTCAGACCATTCGTGAACTCCTTTTTTCCAGAATAATTATTCTTATTGTGAAATATGACCCGACATTAAAAGGCGTTGTGACGCTTTTCACTCAAGACTAACACTATCACAAAAATATGATTTTCAATTTATTTTTGAGTTTCTTTCTAAACTCTTTTGCATATTTTTCTGCTTTACGTGCCCTAGCTTATCTGTGTAAAAATTCAAACTTTTTGTTTTAAAGTTTTGGACTTCAGTGGAGTTCCTTTGAAATACCAGTTCAGATTACATGTGATCTAGTTAAAGATGTTCCATAATTGAGACAGTTGGCATTTTACACTTAAACTCGCGTGTTTAACTTCATAAAATGATTTTCTTTATGTATACTATTATATTATTCAAGTTTTTTTGTATGATAATTAATTTAAAAACTTACACACAATGATTACAGTGTAAATTATTTTGTTCACAAATGATACACTGCCTTTACCCTTTTAAAGGGTAAGATAAGATTTTTTTTCTGTGATTTTTTTACATATTTGAATGTATATTTAAAATCATTGCTATTTATTACTTTCCAAGACATTTAAAATAGCATGCCTCCAGATAAAATGGCAATGTGCTTTTATTTTCTGTTTGAAAAACAATTCTGTGTTGTTTCAAAATAAATATCTTAGAAAAATGCATTATATCACTGTAAGCTATTTATAATGCAACAAGTGAAGTTCGCTTCTAAAAATAGAAGACCTTGAAACAAATCGTCTGCTTTACAAATTATATAGAGAGCGGACCTGTAGATTAGAGGTATCAAGGGATTTCTTTGATGTTTATGTATTTTATCTTCGGCAAATTTCATTTCCCACCTTTATTCTTTTGATTTGACAATTATATGAAATGATTTATCTAAAGGTAACATATTTAACCTGTAGAAGAATGAAGGCTTCTTAAAGTGAAGTGAATCTTTAAAAAATGAAACTTAAATTATAACAAGCTTTTTAGAAATGACTATACATACAGATGTATTCACAATCGTGCAAAATTCTTGAATGTATGCTATGAACAAAATTTGACATATCAAGTTTATGTAAGAATTAAATCAAATCTGGAGGCATGCTGCTTTAAGTTGTTTACAACAAAAAATGCAGAGGGGTGCCGTTTTGTTATGGGTATACATGTACTCAACATACTGTTAAACAATGATAATTGGGTGTATGTCACCCACACTTTGGTTGAAAATACTCCATAGGTCATAGTTCAGATGGGATATTTGTTGATTTTCCTTTTTATATCTCAAGACAGATCATGGCATACATTTTGTTATTGTTTCAATTAAGAATTATGTCACTAAATGGTATCTGGTTAGTAAAAGAAAAACTTTTAAAGCTCTCAAAAAGACTCATTATTATGTTTCAGTCCTAATGAAACAAGCATAAAGTATTGTTCATCTTGGTCACTGACTTAGAGCAAAGAAAAATCTTGTTAACAAATTTATTTAAAAAAATGCTTCCAGACAAACTATGAATCCCGAGTCAAACCCTACCTATGAATCCTTTTATGAAAATATTGGATTCCAGCAAAAAGTTTCCATTTCGTTCTAAAATGCCTAGTTACCATAAAGTTTTTGAAGTTTTGCTCTGAATATATATATAAAGTTTCCATGTGATTGAACCAACACTTGGTGTAAGAAATGCTTTTTATGGGATATCTATATAGGTTAAACACATTGATACAGAGTAATGTCTTCTCTACGGTTTTCTTTTAACAGTCAATGACTACTGGTTTAAGTTATCTGATCATAACAAGGAAACACAGTACTTTAAGGGGAGTTGTATCCTCATGGTTAAGGTGTCTGTCTCTCAACCCAGGAATCAAGGGTTCGAGTCCTAATTGGATCATTGACTCACCGCCATGTTTCCTCATATGACACCAGTACTGGTCGTACTAGAAAGTGATTAATATAAGCTGCAAGAACTTGTTTTGCAATTGAGATAAAATGATATGTTTAAACCTAAATATACAATATTCAGCAACAGCTGTCAGAAGGAAATGTTAAATTATTATTCAATAAGCAACAAATAATAAGTTTTTTTATTCAGTATAGATTCTAAGTACATAGTACAAGATTAACAATTTTGAGAAGTTTGTCTATAAATTTTAAATTACTATGCCGTGCTTACTAAGTTGTTGGTACCCTTTGTTGATTCTTGAATTTTACATGAAACCTGAAACTTTACATTGAAACATACATATTACATGATGAAAGTAATAACTTGATATTGATCATGCCTTACACAGTATAATTATGTGAAAACAAAATATATGTTTATTCTGTGATGAAGAAAAATAAATTTTACAAGCACGTATTTTTCTTTTGTGTTTTTTCCCCTTTGTTCAGCCAATAGGGCTACACATTTTTTTTGTTAATTTTAAGGTCCCCCTGCAAATACATTAGTTCATAAAAATTATAGAAAAAATCTTTTAGTATTAAGATTGTCTCCAGAATCCAGCAATCATTATTTACAGAGCAATGTTTTTTCTCAATTAGGGAGAGGCAATAACTTCTCGATTTTTGTAAACATTACGGCTAAAATTGCTAATTTAAGAAGCAATAAAGCTGGTTCAGATTTTTGAAAAAAACTGCACAAGAAAATTTCCATTGATAAGGCTCTGATTTTTAGCTCACCTGACCACGAAGTGGTCAAGGTGAGGTATAGTGATGGGGCTATGTCCGGCGTCCGTCGTTGTGCGTCGTTCGTCGTCAACAATTGGGTTGTTAACAGTCTAGAAGTCACAGTTTTGATTGGATCATTGTCAAACTTTGTCAGAATGTTTGTCTCAATGAAATACAGATCGAGTTCGAAGATGGGTCATCTCCGGTCAAAAGCTAGGTCACAGGAGCTAAAAATAGAAAAAGCTTGTTAACACTCTACTGGCTGCAGTTTTGATCCAAATATTCTGAAAATTTGTCAGGAAAGTTGTTTTAATAATTCCTAGGTCAAGTTTGAAGATGGGTCATCTCCGGTTAAAAACTAGGTCACAGGAGCTAAAAATAGAAAAAGCTTGTTAACACTCTACTGGCTGCAGTTTTGATCCAAATATTCTTGAAATTTGTCAGGAAGGTTGTTTTGATGATTTCTAAGTCAAGTTCAAAGATGGATCATCTCCGGTCAAAAATTAGGTCACAGGGGCTAAAAATAGAAAAAGTTTGTTAACACTCTAGTGGCTGCAGTTTTGATCCAAATATCCTGGAAATTTGTCAGAAAGGTTGTTTTGATAATTTCTAAGACAAGTTCGAAGATGGGTTATCTCCGGTCAAAAACTAGGTCACGGGAGCTAAAAATAGAAAAAGCTTGTTAACACTCTAGTAGCTGCAGTTTTGATCCAGATATTCTGGAAATTTGCCAGGAAGGTTGTTTTGATGATTTCTAGATCAAGTTGAATGATAGGTCATCTCCGGTCAAAAACTAGGTCACAGGCGCTAAACATAGAAAAAGCTTGTTAACACTCTAGTGGCTACAGTTTTGATCTAAATATTATGGAAATTTGTCAGGAAGGTTGTTTTGATAATTTGTAGGTCAAGTTCGAAGATGGGTCATCTCCAGTCAAAAACTAGGTCACAGGAGCTAAAAATAGAAAAGGCTTGTTAACACTCTACTGGCTGCAGTTTTGATCCAAATATTCTGGAAATTTGTCAGGAAGGTTGTTTTGATGATTTCTAGGTCAAGTATGGGTCGTCTCCACTCAAAAATGAGGTCGCATTGCCCAAATATGGAAAACCTTTTTAACACACTAGAGGTCACATTTTTGACTCGATTGTCATCAAACTTGGCCAGGATGCTTGTCTAAGATATTGCTGGGATGTGGTTGATGGGTCAGGGGAGCGATCCAGGGCCATCATGGCCCTCTTGTTTAGTGAAAAATCACTGCAGAAACTTCCTATGATGTTCATTTCTTGCATGAGTATTATATTTTCTGAATACTGCATTCCTAGAAAATTTTGTGGATACAATATTTGACGTTTATTTTATGATTGGTATAACTGCAGAGACAAATTTTCGTGCAAATATAATGACCACAAATATTGCAAATATTAATTCGCTGTGGTTAAAAAAGCAGCATACAAGGTTATGTCTATCGTAATGAAGTAATCAAAATACTTTACTATTAAAAGGTATCCATTTGACAGTCTTAATATTTACTTTTAATGCGATAGAAAACAGTGAGAAATTCAGCTGTGATGATTTCGTTGGTCTTGTCTGGTGTACAATGCTATTTTTATGCCCCCGGGCATATAGTAATTGAACCATCTGTCCGTACGAGGTTAACCTAGAACGGCAAGTTGGATTTTCCTTAAGTTCTACCTGTACCAATGGCTTCATAATTTACACACTTACTAATCCATGCAAGGTATATGATCTTGGCAAGTTACATAACTATGGCTTCCATTTGCACCAAGTTATGGCCCTTTTCAGCACTTAGAAAATGAATAATGGTTAACCTAAACCGGCAAGTTGGAAATATCTTATGTTCTATCTGAACTAATGGCTTAATAATTTTCACACTTACTTATCAATACAATGTACATGATATTGCCAAGTAATATAAATGTGCCATCCATTTTCCCAGTAATTTCCCTTTTTATCACTTTGAAAATAGGGCCTTGTATGGTTAACCTATTTCGCAGAGTTGGATTTATCAAAAAATTTCACCTAATTACTTAATTTATTTAATGATATCTTTCATATTTGGTAGGTGGATACCTTTAACGGTCCTCTAATTTTTGTGGCGTTAGGCGTCACTAGGTCAAGGTCACTTGTGTAAAAAAATAAATTTAAACATTTCTGCTCATACAGCCTTTATTTTAAAGTTAATGTCTTTCATGTTTATAATAGTCATACCAAGGGAGGTCCTCTTCCTTTTCCTTTAGTAAGGGGTCATTTTGGGTCAAGGTCATAATGTCAA